GCTGGCGTCACCCCGACAGACCAGCCCCAATTTGGCATAAGAAAGGAGAAAGAGAATAAAGGAGTACAGAGGTATAAGTAGGGGACCTACAGCACCATGATTTTTGAGTGCTTTTCACTATCTATCTGCTGGTCAGATAAGTGACAGCCTCCCAAGGCTTCTGCAGCTAAGAGGGTCCCTATGCCTTGTCCCTTATTCGTCTTTCCGCGGAATTGAGTGACCAATCCTGGCTTGGCACCGCTGGAATCGAGAGATGCAAGGAGGGTAAGAAGCACCCACACCTGATCTCCTATCTTTAGTGTACACATATTTTGAAATAGAGCTCTATACTTTGTTTTCTTTCTTTGGGATTGTGGCTTCAGTTTTGTAACTTGTTTGTGTGTGTAACATCTCTACATTTAAATAAGTAGGCACTAGCAATTTTGTAACCACATGATTAGAATCTAGCTTAATAAATTTTGGTAACCATTTATGCATAAGCCTGACTTGTTTTCTCTGGTTTACTGTAAAGCAGCCAACACAATTAAAGAACCTCAGCCGTTTTGGCTCTAAAGCCTGGCCATTAGGTGAGAGTACTAAGAGCCTAGCGTTGAGTTGTGCCGCCTCCACGGGGTAAACTCTTGGGGCACCTGTCAGTCAATCCTGGCTGCCCGCTGCGAAGGAGCTCTGAGCTCTAGCAGTCAAAGTCACGGGTGGTTAGGACCTTGGGGCATCCGTCAGCCTAGCCCGGGCTGCCCGCCGCGAAGGGACAGTGCGTCCTAGCGGTTAAAGTCACGGATGGTATAAACGGGCATAGCTGGCACCTCACCAAACATCCTTGGCCGTCGGCTAACAAGGGTGGAGGGTGAAATTGCACCCAATGAGTCCGACACTGGAGTCGTATTGTGGAGGAAATAGTGCTGGTATGCCCCACCCACAATTGCCAATCCACCCACAAATCCAGAGTAGCTGCATATTTCAGCTAAAACGGTAATGGTAGTAACTGCTGTAGATACTACCCCATGCCATGTGACCCAGATATTATCTTCATTTTTATTACAAAAATGATCATAGAAATAGTTAACAATGAGGGCAACTATGAGTACATCTACACTGCAAAAGAAAACCCGCAGCAGTGAGTCTCAAAGCCTGGGCTGACAGACTGACTGACTTAGGCTCGCAGGGCTCAAGCTATGGTGCTATAAATAGCTGTGTAGACCTTCCAGCTCAGACTGAAGCTCAGGTTCTGAAAACCACACCATTCACCGGGTTTCCGAGCCTGAGCAGGAATGTCTACACACTGCTATTTTCAGCACCGTAGCACAAGCCCCATGAGCCTGAAGACCTGGGCTCTGAGTGCTGGTCTATACTAGAAAGTTAGGTCAAGCCAGGTAGGTCACTCACGAGTGTGAAATATTCACACCCCTGAAAGACGTAGTTAAGCCAACCATGTAAACAGCACTAAGTCAACAGAAGATTTCTTCCATCGACCTAACTATCACCTCTCAGAGAAGTGGACTTACTACAATGACGGAAGAACACCTTTCATCGCTGCAGTGTCTGCACTGAACTCTCCTGCTGTAGCTTTTCTAATGTAGACTTTACCTGAGAGTTGGGGCACTAGTTTTGGTTTCTTTTTTATTTGTTGTTGTAGAGTAAACATACTCTACGTTGTCAGCTTTAGGTTTCAGAGTGAATGTCCTATTGCAACAAAGGCAAACATTTCACACCTCTCACAACTCTGTGGTTTCAGGCTCTTTCCTCCTCTGCAGACTGAAAGCAAGGCAGCAAATTGCATTTGTCAGATTTCCTTTGCAACCAAAAGGGTTAGAAACTTTTTTTAAAAAATAAAAGCACAAATGGATCTGTAACATCTATGTAGAGCAAGTGAGACCTTGGATTTTAAGATTACCTATCTGTGTAGATTCTTATACTGTACCCTTTACCACAGTATCTGAGGATGGGATTTTCAAAGAAGACTAAAGAAGTTAGGCACCCAAACTGAATACAAGCTGGGCACCTAAATCACTTGGCAATTCCAGCCAAAGTGTCTTATAAATTTATTAAACTAAAATCAAGAAGCTTGTTCTGTGTCTGTTCCCCCCATTCTGTAAGGGCCTTGACTTGCTTGTTTGCTTTTTAAATGTGACTTTGGTGGGTTTATTGAGAGAAGGCTCAGCTGAAGGTGCAGGGTTTGCTTTTGCTCTGAAGGTGCTTAGGTTCATGCTCACCCTGATGTCTTCCAGGAGCGAGTTTCAGATTCATGGGCCTGTTATCGAAAATGCTTTATCTCCTGGACACAGTGCCATTGTTTCAGTGGAACATGGCAGTCATGATCACAAACAGTGTAAGAGTCCCTTATGTAACCTAGACCATTGCCTGGAAGAATTTTGGAGAGGAGGATCAAAACCTGGAATTTGAACTAGTATTCCCCATGGAGCCAGTGCAGACAGCGGAGCTGTGTGGTGACAGACTCTCGGTGGTCTGCAGTGCTGAGCAGATGTGCAGCAATATTCTGAAACAATTACAGCTTAAAAAAAAATAAAAAGTCAACAGTCTCATATGAAAACACACATAAACATCACTGCATGGAATTTAACTTCTGTTTCTCAGTTAAACATGCTTTATAAGTCCTGGGTCTTTCCCTTTCTCCCAGCAGCTACTACTTCAGCCTCTTATATTCCAATCCCACCTCTGTCACACTGGAGTACGAACTGAACTACTTCAGAAGGCTGTTTACTGTGGTAACACAGCACAGCTTTTATCTCCATTCATTTCATCTGTTCTTTGGGAGAAATTGGCAATCTGAAGAGGTTCATAGAGCAATGAGCCAACTGTCACGGATTGTATAGCAGGGGAAGAGATATATGAGAGAGACTCTCTCTTTCACATAAATGTGCACTATATTATATATACCTGTATATATATCATATTGCTTTGCATCCCCTACCCTCTCCACTAGTGATGCTAACCTCAACCTCTCATTTGCCCAATTCTCCTACAAACACCTTTGTGCTTTCTTCCACACTGCCGTACACAGAGAACAATCCCCTATCTTGATCTGTAAGAGCCCCCACATTCTGCCCCTTCAGCTCTCTCCTCAAGACCCATTGTCACTGTGATGCATGCATCTAATGATGTCGATAGTCAATTTAAAAGAAAAACATTGATTGTATGTTTTCTACTTCACAGGAACTTTTCAGGGCAGGGACTGCGTCTGAAACAACAAGAATGCCAACAATGGGGAAGGCTCATGAATGCAAGAGATTGAACCTTTACAGACGCTAGATCAAGACTACCAAACACACTGCCAGATGAAAAAAGAATGATCACCACAGTCAGCACTAAATACAAAGCCCAGCCCTTTACCCAAGCTCTTCCATAATAGATCCCTCAACCACACCAATACTCCCACTGTTCTTAGACAAAAATATTAATAAAGAACTAATACTACAAAAAATAAAGGAATCCAAACTTTCACTCGCTGGCAAAGAAGGGGTGGAAAAAGAGATCATCATGTTTTTTTACTACTCAGAGGTGATCAGATACTAAGATGAGGGGTACTATTATAGGAACCCGGTTGGATTAACAGATAGAATTTAGTCCTAAAAGATGGCTCTACCATTTCCTTGAGGGTTGCACTGTAAAGTATTTTGGTTTTGCGTTGCCCTCTAGTGTCCAAAATAAAATTAAAAATATCTAGAGAATTATTCACAGTGAAGATAGTGAGCCAAGTTGTGCTCTTGGACACAATACTATGAATCAGGAGGCAGTGGAGTTGCTTTGGATTTATGCAGGCATATCTGATTCACTAAATGAAGCTGTTCTCCAGGCAGTATTGGGGCACTTTGGCAGGAACTAGGGTGCCCACACCTCCTCCCATTTTGGCCAGGACAGTCTCCTTTTTGAGCTCTGTCCCAGACGGCACAACTTTTTTGGCCAAACTGGGCATTTGTCCCGTTTGCTCTTGCCCTATGGTGACGCGGAGGAACGTTTGGCAAGAGCAAACGGGACGAACGCCCAGTTTTGCCTAAAAAGTTGTGATGTCTGTGATGGTGGCTCAAGCCCCATACGGCAGGGCCTGGGCTTGGAGCAGGTCTCGGGTGACGCGAGACGGCTCGGGCGAGTGAGGACGCCAGGCGGCTTGGGCCATCGTCTGTCCTACGGAGCAGGGTAAGTGACAAGCAGGGACGCCGAGCAACTCGGCCAGCGGCGACAACAACGGGCAGCTCGGGCCAGCCCTGCACGGGACCGGCCCAAGTCACCTTGCATCGTCACTGTTTTCACTTTCGGGAAATATGGTCAGCCTCGCAGGAGCCCCAGGGCCACAGTGAAGGTGTACACACCACAGCATCACTGTAGGGTGCTCTCTCTCTCACCGGCGGGCGCGTCTCGTGCAGGAAAGTGCCACCCGCACAGCCAGCAGTACCGGCGGAGCCCCAGGCGCCAGGGAGCACCCCAGACAGCAACTCTACACCCACCGGGCTCGGTGCCTGAGCCAGCCAGCCCCGCAGCGCTGCCCCAGCTCTCTCGCTGCCCACCCCCTGCAGGGGGCCCGTGCACACCAGAACCCCCCCAGCCCCCAGGCCCCGGCCCCCAGGCGCCCGGCGCGCGTGCACAGCCCCTGGCCGCCGCCTGGTCTCGAGGGCGCTGACGGCCTAACCCCCACGCGCCCGCCGGCCTCCCGCCACGCCCCAACTCCTCTCCCGCAGCCAGCGCGCTCCACACCCATGGCAGGGCCCCGCCCCCTGCGGGGGGGAACGCTGCAGCCGCCGGCCGCGCAGGGCTGCCCACGCCCGGCGGCGGCACGAGCGCAGCACGTGTCCGCCCAGCCCTAGAACGCAGGTCCCTTCCGCCCGATTCCGAGATGGCCGGCAGGAGCCGTAAGGCCGGGCAACCACGTGATCTCTCCGGGCTTCGGCCCCGCCCCAGCTCCCCGCGGACAAAGGGGGCGGAGCTAGAGGTCTGCTGTTCCCATGGCGATCGCTGCTAGCGTCTCTCCCCTCTCTCCCCCCGCCCCCACCATACGGTGGGCGCCGGGAGACAGAAAAGGCCGGGGCGGCTGGGCGATGAAACGCGCTTCTGCTCCGGGATGGAGGGGCCGGGGCAGGTGAGACCCCGCCGGGTTACGCCTCCCCCCCATATAACGCCCTCCCGCAGCCCCTGCGCCCCCCCATGCCGCCCCCGCAACTCACACCGTGTACCCTGGCATTGCCCCCCAGTGCCCCCTCTACATCTCCCCACACACTGCCCCCCCTGCATTGCCCCACCTATCACCCCCCGACACACACACCCCTGCTGCCCCCTCTACATCTCCCCACACACTGCCCCCCGCATTGCCCCACCTATGACCCCCCGACACACACACACCTGCTGCCCCCTCTACATCTCCCCACACTGCCCCCCGCATTGCCCCACCTATCAACCCCCGACACACACACCCCTGCTGCCCCCTCTACATCTCCCCCACTGCCCCCCCCCCCCCCCCCCCCCCCCCCCCCCCCCCCCCCCCCCCCCCCCCCCCCCCCCCCCCCCCCCCCCCCCCCCCCCCCCCCCCCCCCCCCCCCCCCCCCCCCCCCCCCCACAACCCCCCCCCCCCCCCCCCCCCCCCCCCCCCCCCCCCCCCCCCCCCCCCCCCTCCCCACCTACAACCCCACACACACCCCCTTCCCCTCTACCCCCACACCCCCCCTCCCACCATCACCCCACACACCCCCTCCCCTCACCCCCCCCCCCCCCCCCCCCCCTCCCCTCTCTCCCCCACCCCCCCCCCCCCCCCCCCCTCACTCCCCCCATCCCCACCTATCAACCCCACACACACACCCCTGCTGCCCCTCTACATCTCCCCACACTGCCCCCCATTGCCCACCTATCAACCCCGACACACACCCTGCTGCCCCCTCTACATCTCCCCACACTGCCCCCCGCATTGCCCCACCTATCAACCCCCGACACACACACCCCTGCTGCCCCCTCTACATCTCCCCACACTGCCCCCCGCATTGCCCCACCTATCAACCCCCGACACACACACCCCTGCTGCCCCCTCTACATCTCCCCACACTGCCCCCCGCATTGCCCCACCTATCAACCCCCGACACACACACCCCTGCTGCCCCCTCTACATCTCCCCACACTGCCCCCCGCATTGCCCCACCTATCAACCCCCCGACACACACCCCTGCTGCCCCCTCTACATCTCCCCACACTGCCCCCCGCATTGCCCCACCTATCAACCCCGACACACACACCCCTGCTCCCCCTCTACATCTCCCCACACGCCCACAACACACAACACCCCTGCTGCCCCCTCTACATCTCCCCACACTGCCCCCCGCATTGCCCCACCTATCAACCCCCGACACACACACCCCTGCTGCCCCCTCTACATCTCCCCACACTGCCCCCTGCATTGCCCCACCTATCAACCCCCGACACACACACCCCTGCTGCCCCCTCTACATCTCCCCACACACTGCCCCCCCGCATTGCCCCACCTATCACCCCCAGACACACACACCCCTGCTGCCCCCTCTACATCTCCCTCCCCACACACTGCCCCCCCGCATTGCCCAACCTATGACCTAACCCCGACACACACACCCCTGCTGCCCCCTCTACATCTCCCCACACACTGCCCCCCCGCATTGCCCCACCTATCACCCCCCCGAAACACACACACCTGCTGCCCCCTCTACATCTCCCCACACACGCACACACTGCCCCCCCACATTGCCCCACCTATCACCCCTCCAGACACACACACCCCCAGACACACACACACCTGCTGCCTCCTCTACATCTCCCCACACTGCCCCCTCCCCGCATTGCCCCACCTATCACCCCTCACTCACACACCCAGACACAGACACACACACACCTGCTGCCCCCTTTACATCTCCTCACACACGCACACACTGCCCCCCCACATTGCCCAACCTATCACCCGCCCCAGACACACACACACCTGCTGCCCTCTCTACATCTCCCCACACATGCACACACTGCCCCCCCGCATTGCCCAACCTATCACCCCCCGCTCCTCACACACACACACACCCCCACTGCCCCCTTTATACAACACTGACTCTCACCCCGCACAATGTGTGTCTGATAAAATGCAAATCCCAAAACTGCACCACGGAGCCAAGCTACCAGCTATCAGCCTGTCACACTGACTGGCTGTGTGTGTAATTTGGACACATCATTGCTTTCTGTTCATTTGTTTCCCTCCCCGCTGTCAAATGGGCACAGTGGTATTCACTCATTGTCATAATACCTAGCCCTTATTGTCCACAGAGCTGAAAGTACTGAACAAGGCAGGTCAATATCATCATCCCCATTTTACCAGTAGGGTAACTGAGACAGGGAAAGGTCAAGTGACTTGCCTCCAGTCACCCAGAGTAGTGAGCAGAACTTGGGTCTCCTGAGTCCTGCCCCAGGACTCTAGCCCCCGCTGAAGCACACTGCCTCTAAGGATGAAAAGCACTGTTTTGTATAAGCTCTCAGCTCTGGATAGTCTTATTTGCTGTTGAGTTTTAAAAATAGATGCCTCTTAGAGAAGGTAGGATTGCAGAGCCATGTGTTGCTTCAACTTCTTTCTGAGATGGAAAAGAAAGAGACTGAAATCCTGGCCCTATGGAAGTCAATGAGAGTTTTGTCATTCATTGACTTCTATGAAGCCAGGATCTCACCCAGAAAGTAGCATCTCTTATATGAGGAATAGAAAATTCCTATTCCCCTTTTCAGTCATACTAGAAAGAGATGAAGCCTACGCCAGTGCCAGCCTGTCCCAGAAATATGTGCTAGAGCAAATGGTGGAGGAGCCCTTGCTGTAGGAGCTATAGCTACAAAGGAATCCTGGACCTCATCCCACTCTCATATAAAAGGGTGTAGTAACGCAATGTGTCTAGTGCACAAGTCTATGCATTTAAAATATTTTTTTAAATGTGTTAAATGTTTTAGCCTGAGCCTGAAGAAGTAGGAATGACTGAAGTGCAGGAGCCTGTTGAATCACCAACAGCAGTGATTGAGTCACCTGGGGACGAGTCACCTATAGTCGAATTGCCAACATCAGTGGACCAGTTACCTACAGATGAATTGCCAGGGTCTGTGGCCGAATCATCTGTGGCTGAATTGCCAACAACTGTGGTCAAAGCACCTGTGACTGAACCAGCAGAGACTGTAGTCAAAGCACCTGCGGCTGAATCAGCAGCAGTGGTCGAATCACCAGAAGTTGAAAAGCCTATGGTGTATGAAGACCCCTTTGAAGTTTCCCTTATGTACATGGAGAAACATAACATTCTGCACATATTTCAGGTGAATTTTTCCTTTCCATCTCCTCTTCTTCTCCCAGTGACTCATTTGAGAAACAGAACCTAAAGTTAGTTTGTCAGTATTGTACTGAGTCAAATGTCTGTCCACAGGCTCCCTCCGCTCCTTGCCTCATATTGGTTCATGGCCAAACCATGGAAATTGGAAGGCTGATCATTTCCAGTGGTTAAAGCAGATCTAAATAAGGGAGGGAACTTGACCAGCCAAGTGGCTGTCACCCCAGGTCATGATCCTATTTGGTGATGCCGCATTACATCATCTGCTGGTGACTGCATGCAGGAAGGGGAAGAGAATGGGGACAAAAGAAGAAATGTATCTGACAGGCATTCCCATCCCCAAGCAGCAGGGCCATATCCAAGCAAAGTGTGGAGGGAGGAAGGGCGGGCGGACGGGTGGGGATATATGCTGTATGCAGTTAGTGGAGCTGGGGACAGCACATCCTTGGTGCTCTCCATTTCCATTCCTGCAAATGGCTTATGTACAATTGATGGAGACTATATTGATGTGACAACACAAATGAGAGAAAAGGAGGATTCTGTTTCTCCATCTTCCTTTCTCATTCCCCCCAAAAATCCCTGTACTGAAGCCATTTGAAAGTACTTTTATGGAGAATCTATTATTTATTACTCCAGTAGTACCTGGAGGGCCAAGACAAGATCAGGCCTTGTCCTGTGATTGTCTATCTAGATTTAGGGCAGGGACTGTCAAAGGGTAGGAGAAATAAAGTATTATTAAATCCATAAAAAGAACAGGAGTACTTGTGGCACCTTAGAGACTAACACATTTATTAGAGCACAAAGCTTTCGTGGGCTACAGCCCACTTCATCGGATGCATAGAATGGAACATATAGTAAGAAGATATATATATATATATACACACATACACAGAAAGTGGAAGTTGCCATGCAAACTGTAAGAGGCTAATTAATTAAGATGAGCTATTATCAGTAGGAGAAAAAAAACCTTTTGTAGTGATAATCAAGATGGCCCATTTAGACAGTTGACAAGAAAGTGTGAGAATACTGAACACGGGGAAATAGATTCAATATGTGTAATGACCCAGCCACTCCCAATCAAACCCAAGTTAATGGTATCTAGTTTGCATATCAATTCAAGCTCAGCAGTTTCTCCTTGGAGTCTGTTTCTGAAGCTTTTCTGTTGCAGAATTGCCACCCTTAAGTCTTTTACTGAGTGGCCAGAGAGGTTGAAGTGTTCTCCTTCTGGTTTTTGAATGTTATAATTCCTGAAGTCAGATTTGTGTCCATTTATTCTTTTGCATAGACACTGTCCGGTTTGGCCAATGTACATGGCAGAGGGGCATTGCTGGCACATGATGGCATATATCACGTTGGTAGATGTGCAGGTGAACGAGCCCCTGATGGCATGGCTAATGCGATTAGGGCCTATGATGGTGTCACTTGAATAAATATGTGGACAGAGTTGGCATCGGGCTTTGTTGCTAGGATAGGTTCCTGGGTTAGTGTTTTTGTTGTGTAGTGTGTGGTTGCTGGAGAGTATTTGCTTCAGGTTGGAGAGCTGTCTGTCTGATGTCTTTATGCGGATACAGACTAACACGGCTGCTACTCTGAAACCTATTAAATCCATGTTACAGATGGGGAACTGAGGTACAACAAGTCTATGTGACATGCCCAGGGTCACAGGGGAAGAAGCACAAATTGAATTGAAGTCTCCTAAGTCACAGTCCAGAGCCTTAGCCACAAGTCTAGCCTTTCTTTCTTTGGTGCACCCAGCCCCCACTGAACCAGGAGGGAGAGTATCCTTCTTCCCCTGGCTCCTGGGAGGGAAGGCAGTGAGTGTTTTTGAGAGGGGAGTGGGCGGGTTCTTCATCTCCTTTGGCTACCTGCAGAGGAAGGGAAGCTGATTTTTTTTCTTGTCTTTATCAGCCCAGGTCCTGCATTATTGCTCATGGTCCTGTTGTGCTCCAAATTGTTTACAGCTAAAAATAATAGAATATTAAAATCCAGGAACAGAAGTTAGACTCACGGGGTGGTAATTGCCTGGATCACTCTTCTTTCCTTTTCAGCAGACCAGTAACCTAGTAGCTTTATTCCAGTCCTTAGTGCCTCCAGCATTTTCCATGGGTTCTGAACCATAATTGCCAGTGGTTGAGTAAACTTAGCATCCAATTCCCATGACATATTGTCCAGTCTAGCTCATTTGTATTTGTTCGCATTTTCCAAATGTTCCTGTACCTGTTTCTATCAATACCAGTATTTACAAGTTCTCTGTTACTTGCTCAGACCTCTTTATTTTTTCATACATCCAGTACCACATCCCAAATACTCAGTAATCTCATCCCAAAAGACTAGGCATTCCTGCCCTCAGCAGAACTGTCTGCATCCTTGAATCTATTACCCGCCTTCAGCAGGGAAATCTAAAAATGCTCTCACTTTCTTTCTCAGGAGATCACTGAAAACTTGGTGTATGAGAAGCCCGATGACCCCTTGCAGTTCATGTTGCTGCAGGTATGGAGTCTTCTAGGTCTGCAGCAGAATCCAATTGTGGCTGAGCAGGCTAGAGCCGCAGTGAAGCCATGAATATTCCTGTTGCTATGAGTCTTGGCACTTGGAAGGAGGAGGATAGGACAGGGGAAGAATGCGCTGGATGACAGGGTCTGAGTGTGTTTTAAAGGGGCAGGACATGGCAGGTTGGGGAAACAAGGCTGGTGAGTAGGGTCAGTGTGTGGAAGGGAAGGAGACAGTGCGGTATATAGGTCCTTCAATACAGTGTCTGGAATTGTGAAAGGAGGATCATGGACAGAGAAAGATCTATCAGCAATGGAAGGGTTTTAAAATACAGAGGACTAAAAGCTTGTGGAGTGAGGGACAGTGGGGATGGGGAGGGAATGGGGGGGCGCACAACTGGGTATAGGAGGGGATTATAGTAAAGACAGAAGAGAAGGAAGGGCAGAAAGAGGATCCCTTTCATCACTCCCCTCTCCCAGGGAGACAGTCTCCACTGGTTTTGAAGGGGACCCAAGCCTTGTCCTGTACTTCAGTTTTCAGAGCTGGCAGAAGCAGTTGTGGTGCTATCTCTGGGCTCCAATATTATGGCATTGGAGAGTGACTTGACCATTTTCTTCTCCTCCCCAGGTGCAGTCCATGATGAACAAGCAGCTGGAAATGGAGGAGGAGGAGGAGGAGCTGGGCGGTGACAGCTTCTACACAGCAGAGAACTTTCCTGGTGGCTACCAGTGACCTTGGCAACATGGTTGTTAGCACAGGGCCTCTGGCTAACACTGCACTTGCACGCTTGGTAGAAATGGTTTTGAACAGGTCTGATGGTAACTGAGCTTCCTGGCTTCTCTTGTTCTGGGTGCTGTGCTTCCAATTGCTTGTAAATTATGCAACTGCATGTTATCGATACACAAACCTCCTAAGAAACACACACACACGCCTCTGAACATTCCTGCCGAACCCACCACATAGCATGTACGCACAGAGGCTACTTTTCTGTGAACACAGACTCTACAGCTCTGATCACACATATACACAGACAACAGCACAAACCCACAGCAACCAGACTTAATGGCTATAGATCCAACCACCCTTGAACACTTACACACGTTTCTACCGTCTCTGTTCTGTTTTGGTGGGTGGTCTGTCCTAAACTGTCATATAGCAATCCACTATATAACAGTTTGGAACTCCAGTGTCCACACTGGGAGGGGCTGTCTCTGTCCCTCTCCCTCCCAGAACCCCCTTGTCCCACACTGGAAGGGGCGGTTTCCCCCTCAGCTATCCCTGCTGAGTTCAGATCACTCTGTCCTTTTGTATTCTTCTCTCTGCCATGGCATGTACAATTCCTATACACACACAACTAGAAGGTGAAGTTAAGGTTGCAGGGACATATGTGTGGCTTCAGAGCATATCACCTCTTAAAAATACTAGTTGAATAAAAAACAAAAACAACTGTTAGAAACCCAGGAAATTTAGAGTTAAAGGGTACTTCTCAAACAAGTAACTCAAATTACCGTTTATCTTTCTATCGGTCATTCAAGTTACTTATACGTCCAAAAGGAAAACGGGACACCGTGCAGGGGTGGCCCAAGCACCCCCCCACCCCTTCCCACCAAGGGGCTGGCTGGAGCCACTCACCCAAGCTTCCCTCCACTGCCCACGGGGCCTGAGCCATTCACCCAAGCCCTGCCCTCCCACTACCCATATGGGGCTGGTGTCACTGCTTGCTTGAGCCCTGCCTGCCCCCCGGTAGCGCCCTGCCTCCCACCCCCTGCACCAGGCTAGCATCGCCACTTGCCCCCCCCACACACATTCCTCCACACCCCACTTTTTTGACACAAGTGGGCATTTGTCGCGTTTGTTCTTGCCAACTGATCAAATTGGCAAGACCAAACGAGACAAATGCCTACTTTTTCCAAAAAAGTCAGGATGGCCGGGACCGGGCTTAAAAAAGGCACTGGCCTGGCCAAAAGGGGACATATGGTCACCCTACTTATATGTTCCTCATCACCATAGTATCTGAGTGCCTATCTCTGCCCCCAATATCTGCCTATACTGGAGACAAAGAAAGAGGATATAGAAAATGTGAACTGTAGAACACTGTCTTTACAATTGATTTCGTGCATACCTATCTCCAGTACTTAGTGTGCTGTTTTGGCACCACGCTGACCTTTGCTCTTTTTAGGTAAGTGCTTTAATTGCATGATCTAGGTCTTTGAGGTTTGTATATAGTCACATGCTAGCTCTGTATCTAATGCCATTTGAATAGTTACCTAATGCCGGTCCTTTCCACTCAAGGATCTCCAAGCACTCAAAACTATTAGTTAATCTACTGTATTCCATTTTAGAGGCACGTGAGTACCATCTTTCTTTTACAAATAGAGCATGATCCTGTAAGGCATGGAGGGCCAGATTTTTACAGATCTTTAGGTGTCTAAAGATGCTAATAAGCATGTCGTGGGTTTTTTAAGTGTCCTTAGCAGGTTAAGTATCAGAGGGGTAGCCGTGTTAGTCTGGGTCTGTAAAAGCTTTTACAGACCCAGACTAACATGGCTACCCCTCTGATACTTGACACCGTGCAAGGCACTACATTTAGCCGTATGGAGTGGAAATCCATCAACCTCATGAAGAAACTTGCACAAGTACAGACAGATATCATCTTCCTTTCCAAATGCAAATGGATGGACATCATACCAAATGGACTGAAGATGAAAAATCCATTGCTACCTACATACTGCACAGCAGTTCATTTGCAAATTTGACACCATCAGCTCAGGATTAAACAAAGACTGTGAATGGCTAGCCAACTACAAAAGCAGTTTCTCCTCCCTTGGGGTTCACACCTCAGCTGCTAGAAGAGGGCCTCATCCTCCCTGATTGAACTAACCTCGTTATCCCAGCCAGATTCTTGCTTGCATATTTATACCTGCCTCTGGAAATTTCCACTACATGCATCCGACGAAGTGGATATTCACCCACGAAAGCTTATGCTCCAATATGCAAGCAGATGACATGGCACGAGTGAAATTGCCGTGTGCTAAATGCAGTGAGACTGGTTTTAATCAAACACTTATTTGTCAAGAGGCTAAGGTAGCTCCCAGGTCTCAGCTCTCAGCAGAGGAAAAGGACACTTCAGCACTACCATCAAGTAAAGGAAACTGTTTCTCTTTGCAAAAAGAACAGGAATACTTGTGGCACCTTAGAGACTAACAAATTTATTTGAGCGCTCAAATAAATTTGTTAGTCTCTAAGGTGCCACAAGTATTCCTGTTCTTTTTGCGGATACAGACTAACGCGGCTGCTACTCTGAAACCTGTCAAAGAGTCCTGTGGCACCATATAGGACTCTTTGCCGCTTTAGCAGGTTAGGTACTTAACTCCTATTGAATCACTTAGGCACTTTTGACATTCCCATTAGGTGCCTATCTGGCCCTGAGTGCCCTCAACACCTGAGAGAATTGGACCCTTAATGAAATATGGGGGAATGATTGTTTTCAACCTGGTGGTATTTGTCTAACCAAGACTTTTTGTAAAACCCTTTGATGTGCACTGGGTCTGATTGTTAGGAAGGCTGGAAAGCAGCAGCATTACTGTATGATTAAGACTGAGGCTTTCTAGCTTTTTGTGGCCACCTATCAAAGGAAACTTTATTTGAGATGGATAAGTTAGTGTGTCTTTCTGATTCTTTTGTCAGAATATTGCTGTGAAACAGAGTTAAAATGCCTGGGTGCCTGGCTTAAAAAATGCAACTTTAACTTTAATGAATTGACTGGGTTTCTAACATTTAAGTATCGTGTTTTGTTGTTTGTTTTTTAATTTCTAACATTCCTGAAAGGCCATGTGTTGTGCCTGCAGCCGTAACATCACATTACTGAAGTTTTTTGTGGGGGGAATTTCCTCAGTTTCTTTTAAATAGCTCTGAGGTTGGCTGGAGAGGAGCCCTGGCCTGTTCCCACAAATCCTATGAGTTTTGCAAGAGGGGAGGCTCAAACTGGCAGTCCTTAGGCGGTCCAGGGGAAAGAATACCTCTGCGGTCTGCTGATCGCATCAACTCCTGCTACTAACATCTCCACCCATTCTTGGAGGGGAGGCTTCCCATGGGTGCACATAAAGGGAGCTGAACTCCTGCAAATTTCTGTAGGTCCATAGGAACAAGGCTCCTCTCCTGCAGGGACCAGGAGGTGCACAGGAATACAGCTCCATTCCTTTCAACTGCATGATGTTTGAAGGACTGGAGCTGGCTGCCTATGGTTGGCAAGAGAATTGGGGTGAGGACTGTAGAACTAAGAAAAATCTCACTCTTGTTCCTCAGGAGGTCCACTAGGAGAAAGGACTGGCTGAGAACAGCACTTTGATGGGGGCAGCCATTACCCATTCCCCTGAACTTCCTGCAGCCCACAGAAATAGGGAGACCTACTTGTGAACCTTCCAATGGAAAAATCTCTTTTGTCCCCTTTGACGAGCCTTCCGAGTTGACCACATTACACTTTTAGCTCTATCTCTGCAAGGAAAAGGGCTGGAGGCTTACATTTTTTTAAAAAATGAAAGCTAAGGTCTCCAGCAATCATGTGATGTCTTGTATTCAGATTGCCAGAGCTGACCTTCCTGGCAACATTACAGAATGAAATTTAAATAACTCTTAAAATCAAATTTTAAACACTACATTTTGGACCTGGGTATCTCAGCTAAGGGAGTCCAGTAAAGTAGATTTTATCACTGTCCTTTCTATCAGAAGAATTATGTGGAACCCTGGACATCTCTATTTAGGATATCATAAATCAGAACCCCCTTGTCTGATTTGCTTCAACTTAGAAAAAAAATCTACCTCAGCCCCAGATATAACCAGATAATTTTGAGGGTGGTATGCCTTGCGGGGTGTGGGGGAGTTCTGTCAAGGGGAAGAGGAAGCAAATCAGAGTTTAAAAAGGAAACTTAGTTGCAGTCTTACCTTTGGAAGGGCTGTCCCTATTCTGTAACGTTTCCCCCTACGCCATGCTTCCCTGTTGATAAGTAGATACAGAGTGGCACAACTATCTCTAGTAGCAGCTGGCAAACTTCTTGTTGTCTTCAATGCTCTGAAGGAACACTCAGTTCACTGTGGGACATGGTACCATCCCACAGACTATTTCATATACAAATCTGACTATTCTATATAGGTTCTTAAACTGTGCTCATCACCGTAGTACCTGAGTGATTTCCAGTGATGTATTAAGCAACGTGACTAACATCTGTCACACATTGTTAGCACAGTTGCCAACTTTTGCGTGGTAGATAAGCACACCGACTTTCACAATAAGCCAAAAATCAAGCTCATCCCATTTTAAAACAAGGCCAAAACAAGCCAATCCCTAAGAACCCCAACACTCTATGTGACTAGATCCCTCCAGCGTGCCATCTGGGACTGTGGTGGGCCCGCTGTGAACCCCTTACTCTCTTCCCCCCACCATGTTCCTGCTTGCCCCTTGCCCACCCCCCATTGCCCCTGCTTGCCAGGAGCCGATCTAAATAAAAGAAGCTACAAGCCAAAAACTAGCCAACAAGCAACTCACAAGCCAATTAAGCCAAAAACAAGCCCAATTTGTGGTTTTTTTGCGGGTTTGGCATGTCTGGTTGTGAGTTCTCCCCCTGCGGAGAGAATGAGAGAAGTGTGTGTAATGGAGTGTCTTGTTTGGTTAGGGATTTTTTGGTTTTGTTTTATTAATGTACACACTCCTCTGCACTTGGGGCGGAAGGTGGTGAGGTTGCAATGGTCCTTATCTCCTGGGGTAGTTCATACCACTGTCAAGGACCAGCATCCGAGAAAGCTCTGTCTCCTGCACAGATGAGATTTATCTTTGTTGCAGAGAGGTCCATTGACTGACATACACAGGCATGACACTCAGCACTGGCATGATACAGAGCTGTGGGCCTCATAGAATATCAGGGTTGGAAGGGACCTCAGGTCGTCATCTAGTCCAACCCCCTGCTCAAAGCAGGACCAATCCCCAACTAAATCATCCCAGCCAGGGCTTTGTCAAGCCTGATCTTAAAAACTTCTAAGGAAGGAGATTCCACCACCTCCCTAGGTAATGCATTCCAGTGTTTCACCACACTCCTAGTGAAAAAGTTTTTCCTAATATCCATCCTAAACCTCCCCCATGGCAACTTGAGAGCATTACTCCTTGTTCTGTCATCAGCTACCACTGAGAACAGTCTAGATCCATCCTCTTTGGAACCCCCTTTCAGGTAGTTGAAAGCAGCTATCAAATCCCCCCTCATTCTTCTCTTCTGCAGACTAATCAATCCCAGTTCCCTCAGCCTCTCCTCCTGGTCATAGGAGTGGCTGCTCCGTGGATCCTTGCTAATGATAGAAGGATGGCCCCCATGAGCTGAACTTGTAGGGACTGCCCACAAAGAAATCATATCGGCCTCCAAATTGATCGGTTAGATCTAAGGCCAAGAACAGAATTTTTTGCAACATTTCTGCATGGGTCTTAAAATGAGCCAGACTCCCCAACAAGATGAAAGTGTTGTCTGAGTACAGCC